TAATTTTCCTCCAATTAAATTAATTTTAAAAAACTTTAAAAAAGAAATAGAAGACATCCAAAGCAGAATGGAAGAAGTAAAATTGTTTCCAGAGAAGAACTTGTACATATAAACACCAAAGGAAAAGAATCTATTATAAACAATAAATGAACTCAGTGAAGTTGCAGGATACAAAATCAAAATAGAAGATCACTTCTATTTCTATATACATGTGCTCGATTCGGCAGCACATATGCTATTTCTATATACAAACAATGAGCTATCTAAAAAAGAAATAAAATTATCCTATTTACAATAGCATCAAGGATAATAAAATACTTAAGAATAAAATTAGCCACAGTGGTTAAATTGGTTATATATTAATTTTATCTCAATAAAGCTTGTTTTAATAAAGACTAGCATCTTTCACTTAGTAATATGCATTTAAAGTTCATGTTGTCTTTTCACAGCTTGATTGCCCACTTCTTTTCAGTGCTGTATGTACTCCATTGTATGTACGTACCTCAGTGTATATATTAATGCACCTATTGCAGGACTTCTTGGTTGCTTCCAAATTTTGGTAATTATGAATAAAGCAACTATAATCATTTGTATGCAGGTTTTTGCATGGACTTAAGTTTTCAACTTCTTTGGGAAACAACCAAGGGTACAGTTGCTGGATTGTATGGTATATTTAGTTTTGCAAAAAGCTACCAAATTTTTCAAAAATCACTGTGCCATTTTCTATTTGGACCAGTAAAAAATATTTCTGTTGCTCCATAAATACACCAGCATTTGGTATCATCAGTGTTTGGTTTTGGCCATTCTGATAGGTGTTTAGTGGTATGTCATGTTGTTTAAATTTGCATTTTCTTGATGACATAAGTTGTGGAGCTTCTTTTTTATGATTCATAAAATCCTTTTTATTTTAAAGGTATATTTTAATGTCATCTCTTTTATTTCTAATTATATAATTTTCACAAGTCTCTCTCCTATACCCCCATCTAGTTAGAAGTATAGTTAGATTGTTTATCTGATATTTATTTTCTTTTTTAATGTAGGCATTTATTAATATGAACTTCACTCTTATTACTGCTTTTGTTACACTCCTTAAGTTTTGGTATGTTGTTATTTTTTTCATTTTCATACGTCATTAAATATTTTTTAAATTCCATTTTGATTTCTTCTATGACTCACTGTTCAAGGATAAATGTTTACAATATTTGTGCACTTTCTCACTTTCATGCTATTAGTGATTTCTAGTTTCATTCTATTTTAGTCAGAAAAAACAACTGACATTATTTTGATCTTTAAAAAATTGTTATAGTATGTTTTGTCACCTAACATATCATCCAAACTGGAGAATGTTCTATGTGTGTTTGGGAAGAATGTGTATCCTTCTGCTTCTGGGTTAAAAATTCTAAATAGGTCTGTTAGGTCATTTAGTTTCTAGTGTTGATCAGTTTCATTCTTTATTGATTTTCTGTCTGAATGGTTGTTTTTTAAAAATAATTAATTTATTTATTTTTTAGAGGCTAATTACTTTAAACTATTGTANCTTTAATGTGCTAAGGTTGTGTTATAAAAACCATTGTTAATATAGTTAAAGATCTAGAGAAATAAGAACTTAGCCCTAGTGTGGTAACAATGAGATGGTTGTTAATTGTCAGCCAGGAGTGCTAGGCAGAAGCTGCCTCATCAAAGTCGCAGAGTCAGTATGGGGTAAACTTTTAGATAAACGCAACTGACAACTTTTGCAGAAAGATTAATTTTTGTATTAACAAGAATATAATTCTACTCTGTACTATTTCCCTATGACACTGTTACCTTTCAGTTAAGGTCACCATAAAAACGGAAAATAGGTTTACAATCACCTGACCTGCATAAAATGTTAATAGCCCCAAGGCCAGAAGATAATGTGCTAAGAATTACTATAGAATTAGAAAACAAAAAAATCCTGCTTTTCCTAAAAAACAAAATGATGTAATACTAATCCTGTGTAATCACGAGTAAGCATCTTGTACCTTGAAAACGTTCTGTGAAAGGGTATAAAACCGGTTGTCAAAAAGTAAAACACAGACTTGGCCCTATCAAGGCTAGTCTCACGTGTCTTCTCTCTCTCTCGCCGACGCTGTTCATCCTGAGGGTACCCCCTGGATCCTACGTACACATGGATGTACATGTGTTCCCCATCCTGAACCCCCCCTCCCTCCCCATCCCATCCCTCTGGGTCATCCCAGTGCACCAGCCCCAAGCACCCTGTATCATGCATCGAACCTGGACTGGCAATCCGTTTCACATATGATAATACATATGTTTCAATGTCATTCTCCCAAATCATCCCACTCTCACCCTCTCCCACAGAGTCCAAAACACTATTCTGTACATCTGTGTCTCTTTTGCTGTCTCACATACCTCCTAGAATAATGGAAATAAAAGCAAAAATAAACAAACAGGATGAAACTGTGTGGGGCTGCCGGGGCTGGCAGGCGGCCCGGACCTGGGTTTCGGTTTCCCGTGAAATGGTGGGATTCCCCGCCCCCATCAGGTAACCTGGAGCCAGCCAATCAATATGCGCCCAGTAAGAAACAAAGGGAGAGCTGAAAAGTCCGCGGACGCCTAAGTTTGAACAAAAGCCCGCGAAAGTTTGTACCAATAAAATTGCTTTGCAAACATGTAACCAATCCGCTTAAGCCAGCTACTAACCGCTTATGCATAGCTTATAAATTTGGGTAACCACCTCTGCTCAGGGCTTTCTGACCCTGCACCACTGCAATGGTTGCGGCAGAAGGCCCTGGCTCGAGTCGGTAATAAACTTCCCTTTTCTTGCGAGTTGCATTGTCTTGGAAGCCTTCTCTCTTCCCGCTTGGGGATTCGGATATTGGACATAACAACTGTCTGAATGTTTTATCCACTTTCTATCTTATTATTACTGCATCAGTTTCTTCTTTTAGATCTATCAATACTTGTTTATATACTTAGATGTTTTGATGTTAGATTTACATGTGTGATCATGTTGAATTGACCCTCTTTATCATTGTGTAACCTTCTTTGTTTCTAAAAACATTTTAAATCAATGTATACTTTCTCTGATGTAAGTATAGCCACTCCTGCTTTTTTTTCCTTACAATTAACATGAAATATCTTTTCCTGTGTCTTCAAATTGCCAACATCCGTTGGATCATAGAAAAAGCAAGAGTTCCAGAAAAACATCTGCTGTATTGACTACGCCAAAGTCTTTGACTGTGTGGATCACAAAAAACTGTGGAAAATTCTTCAAGAGACGGGAACACCAGACCACCTCACTTGCCTCCTGAGAAATTTGAATGCAGGTTAAGAAGCAACAGGTAGAACTGGACATGGAACAATGGACTCGTTCTAAATTGGGCAAGGAGTACGTCAAAGCTGTATACTGTCACCCTACTTATATGCAGAGTACATCATGTGAGTACACACTGTCACCTTACAGCTTATATGCAGGGTTACATGCTACTTTTATGAAGAGTGCATACTGCTTATATGCTTATATGTCACATACTGTTTAGATGCAGAATACATATTGTCACCCTACTTATATGCAGAGTACATCATGTGAAATGCCAGGCTAGATGAAGCACAAGCTGGAATTAAGACTGCCAGGAGAAATATCAGTAACCTCAGATANATTGAAGGCAGGAGAAGGGGATGACAGAGGATGAGATGGTTGGATGGCATCAACGACTTGATGGACATGAGTTTGAGCAAACTCCATGAGTTTGTGATGGACAGAGAACCCTGACAAGCTGCAGCCCATGGGGCCACAAAGAGTCTGACATGACTGAGCAACTGAACTGAACTGATGTCAATTTTAGTCAATTTATACCCTTGAATCTACAGTAAGTTTCTTGTAAATAGCACATAGTTGGATCTTTGTTATTCATCTATTCAGCCCCTCTGTTTCTTTTTTATTTTCTGTGAGTATAATGAATTTAATCCATTTAGATTTATTGATAGGGAAGGATTTACTATTGTCATTTTTAAGTGTTTTATTTAATCTTATAGTTCTTTTGTTCCTCTTTTTCTCTCTTGTCTTCCTTTTTGTTTTGTTTTCTTTTTTTGATAGATTTTAATTCATTTCTCCTTTTATGAGTGAAACATCTAAAGATATTTCTTTGTAGTTACCAAGAGGCTTTTTAAAGCTAATACCAACTTAAGTTCATTAGCATGCAATAACACTCCACTTCTATCTCTTATCTCTCCAGCCTTGCCAGGGATTCTTAGATCCTCTTAAACTTCTGTGCTTGTCTAAACCATTGTGTGTGTTAGTGGCCTTAGGAGATGAAGGTGTGGCAAGTCCTGACAGTGCCCTGAAGGCTGGGGAAATGATCCCTTGCCCATTCAGGCTCCTAGAGGACTACTAGTTCTTATGCCCTTGTTGAAACTGCCTTTTCACTCTCCACATTCCAGGGGGGTTCATGAATGCCACATCCGGTTTGCCCTCAGAACTAGGTGGTTTGAGAAACAGTCTTTTGGATGGTAGACAAAAAATTGAGGAGCTAAATGTGTGAAGCTGGGAGTTGGGAGTTCCATTCTGGTTGTAATGCACTATTTTGTGGGTGGGTTTTATGGTGCAAGTATGTCTCAGCTTATCCTACCCATCTTGATGTGGGTATTTTCTCAGTTGTGTGATATGTAGAAGTCTTTCAACTAGTTTTGGATTCATCTTAGAGGGAATGGACCCCAGTTCAACTGTTTATTTGGTGCATCCAAGGAGGGAAAGTCAAGGGTCCTATTTTACCATCTTGCTCTCCAATAGTTTTAAAGAAAATTAAAGACACTCTTAGATTCTCGTGGTAAGGCTGTTCTAATTGTCTCACCATCTCTGACCAAAATTCTCATTTCTCTCTAGAATCCATGGGCTAATTCAACAGTAGTGATATCAATGCCTACCATGATTCATGTCTATCATTTCCCACAAGTAGGTTTCTGACCTTCACCCACAAATCATGTTTCTCACACCTCAGACAGTAATGATGTCTTACCTTTAGGATATTTTTGGTGATGCTGAGGCGCTCAATGAACACATCCCCAGAGGAAGCAACCTCCTCTCCAGTCAAAATTTCGAAGGTAGTAGTTTTCCCAGCTCCATTTAATCCAAGCAACCCAAAGCACTCCTGCTTTTGGATTGTAACAGAGATATTTCTCACAGCTAAAACTATTGGATTTGAAAAATACACCTTAAAAAAATACAGAAAACATAATATAGTAAGGAATACTTATAGGTCACATACAAACAATATTTCAGACTCCCATGGACCACCTCAGATAGTTTCACAAGAGTCCTTCTATTCTCTTGAGAGAATACACATAGATTCAAAGAACCACAGTAAGCCCGTGACATTAGTGGCATACTCTTTAATAGAAATTAAACCATCGTAAGTTGTTCTTTGAATAATATTACCTTTGTGAGTTCCTTAATAAGCACTGTAGCATTCAGTGACTCTTGAGAGTGCTCCAGGATTCTATTTCTTTCATTTTGTACATCTTCATCTTCAGATTCCCCAGATAATTCCTTGGATACTCTATCCTATATTTTAAAAATAAGACCATAGATATGGATGCACTTTAGACATCTGGTCGACACTGGTTGGCTTCAGGAAGGCTAAACTGAGATAATCTCAAGAATGTCAAACCAGAAGTTTTGACTCATTTCCAAATGACTTCCTGCATATCAACTCAGCTCTCACATATTTCCTACATCCAAAGTTTAAAACCTATACCATGAGCAAGTAGCAAGTTCTTAACAAAATGGTCACTTCAGAAAAAACTACAATCACAACAAAACTATTACCTATAACTAATAGTTATTTTAAAATATTTTTTTATTTTTATTAAATATAAAGTTATGTTTAATAATAAATGTATACTTTATAAGATATCAGAAGAGTTGAGAGTAGGGAAAGAGCAACACTTTTCTTTCAGAGAAGAGTGGAATCCAAGGACAGACTCACATAAGAAATGTTTACAATGAATTTAAATAAAATAGGAGCTCATTAGGCAACTTATGATGAGAAAGAAAGAATAGGTAAGACATCCCACAGAGTGAAAATATGAAAGAATACTCTATGACTTGTATGTCATTCTTTTTATTTTGAAAGAATTTAGATGTACAGAAGAGCTATAAAAACAGGACAGCTCTAGTATACATTTTAACTTTGCCTAATGACATCATATAGTAATGATACATTGATAAAAACTAAGAAATTAACATTGGTTCAGTTCTATTAACTACAGATCTTACTGATGTTTAGTGCAAAATATTTTGAATGCTTTAACAATACTTTTAGTATAAGCTATTTATTTAAGCATAATATATATCTTAGTTGCTGCTATTCAGTCACCAAGTCATGTTCAACATTTTGTGACCTCATGAATGGCAGCACATCAGGCTTCCCTGTCCTTCAATATTTCACTTAATTTGCTCAAACTCATGTCCATTGAGTTAGTGATTCCATCCAACTACTTCATCTTCTGTTGCCCACTTTCCCTCCTGACTTTAATATTTCCCAGCATCAGGGTGTTTTCCAATCAACTGGCTCTTCACATCAGATGGCCAAAGTATTGGAGCTTCAGCTTCAGCATTGGTTCTTTCAGTGAATTTTCAGGATTGATTTCTTTAGGATTAACTGGTTTGATCTCCTTGCTGTCCAAGGGATATTCAAATGTCTTCTCCAGCACCATCGTTCAAAAGCATCAGTTCTCTGGTGCTCAGCTTTCCTTTCTTTATGGTTCAGCTTTCACATCTGTACATGACTACTGGAAAAACCATAACCTTGACTACGTGGACCTTTATAGGCAAAGTGATGTCTCTGCTTTTTAATATGCCTGTCTAGGTTTGTCATAGCTTTGCTTTCAAGGAGCATGGCTGCATTCAGTTTTCAGTGATTTTGGAGACTAACAAAATTAAGTCACTGTTTCCATTGTTTCCCCATCTATTTGCCATGAAGTGATGGGACCAGATGCCATGATATCAGTTTTCTGAATGTTGAGATTTAAGCCAGCTCTTAATATTAAAAAGACTTAGTTCCTCTTCGCTTTCTGCCATTAGAATGGTATCATTTGCATATCTGAGGTTGTTGATGTTTCTCTTGGCAATCTTGATTCCAGCTTGTGATTCTGGCCTGATATTTCACATGATGTACTCTGCATATAACCTAAATAAGCAGGATGGCAATATACAGCCTTGATGTACTCCTTTCTTAATGTTGAACCAGTCCATTTTTCAATGTCTTGTTCTAACTGTGCTTCTTGACCGGCATACAGGTTTCTTAGGAGGCAAGTAAGGTGGTCTGGTATTCCCATCTCTGTAAGTATTTTCCATAGTTTGTTGTGATTCACATAGTCAAAGGCTTTAGCATAGTCAATGAAGCAGAAGTAGATGTTTTTCTGAAATTCTCTTGTTTTTTCTATGATCCAATGGATGTTGGATCTGGATGTTTAGTCTCTGGTTCATCTGCCTTTTCTAAATCCAGCTTGAACATCTGTAAGTTTTCAGNTCTCTTGTGCTGTTTAAAGAGTGTTTGCTATGACCAGTATGCTCTCTTGGCAAAACTCTGATAGCCTTTTCCTTGCTTTATTTTGTACTCCAAGGCTAAATTTGCCTGCCTGTGATTCTATATATCACTTGACTTCCTACTTTTGCATTCCAATCCCCTGTGATGACAAAGACATGCTTTTTGGTCTTAGTTCTATTACATCTTGTAGGTCTTCATAGAACTGTTTGACTTCACCTTTATCATTGCTATTTGTTGGGATGTAGACTTGGATTACTGTGAATTTGAGTGGTTTGTCTTGAAAATGAACAAAGATCATTCTGTCATTTTTGAGATTGCACCCAAGTACTGAATATCAGACTCTTTTGTTGACTCGGGGCTACTCCATTTCCTCTAAGGGATTCTTGTTCACAATAGTAGATATAATGGTCATCTGAATTAAATTCACCCATTCCCACCCATTTTATTTCACTGATTCCTAAAATGTTAATGTTCACTCTTGCCAACACCTGTTTGACCAACTTTCAATTTACCTTGATTTATGGACCTAACATTCCAGGTTCCTACACGATATTGTTCTTTACAGCATTGGACTTTACTTGCACCACCAGACACACCCACAACTAGGGGTTATTTCTGCTTTGGCTCAGCCTCTTCATTCTTTTTTGAGTATTTCTCTTGGACACCTACTGATCTGGGGGGCTCATCTTCCGGTTTCACATCTTTCTGCCCTTTCATACTGTTCATGGGATTCTCAAGGCAAGAATACTGCAGTGGTTTGCCATTCCTTTTTCCAGTGGACTATATTTTGTCAGAACATATATCTAGATATGTATATAAGTCATAAATCAACATCTTAATAAGTTTTATTGTAACCAGTCTCAATAAAGTAAACAGAACATTACCCCTCAATAACAAGAAATATGACACATAACTCACTATGTATTGTTATACATTAGTTTTGTTTTATATAAATGAAATTCTACTTTACATATTCTTTTACATCTGACTTATTTGGTGGCAATTTGTATCAGAGATTATTCTATGCTGTTGCATAAGTTATAGGCTCTTCCTTCTGATTGCTATATTCTATTGTGTGAATAGACATTTTAAAATCCATTATGCTATTGAGAGACATGTGGTTTGCTTCCCTCTTAAACTTTGTCTTATATAAATAATGTTTTGTGCACATTCTTTCAAATGTCTTTCAGTGTACATGACTATGTCTCTCTGTTGGATTTATACTTAGAAGGGAAGCTTGTAGGACTTAGTTATGCACACTTCATATGCATATAAAATAATGTTTTTTTTAAAGCATAGTTATAAAACATTATATTAGCTTCCTTTTAGCTTCACATTAGCTACAAGGGAAGCCCCCTACAACATAGTAATTTCACGTTAATATACACTACAAATTAATCACCACAACATCTAGTAACCATCTGTCATCATACAAAGTATTTGGAATACTATTGACAGTATTCACAATAGTGTACATTATGAACTATGACATTTATTTTAAACTGGAATTTTGTATCTCAATCTTTTTGTCTTTGTCTTTTTCTCTGAACCCTGCCATGCAATGATCACCATTGCCTCTTGTGGTCACCAGTTTGTTCTCTGCCTCTATGAGTCTGTTTCTGTCGTGTTGAGTCTCTGTCATTTAGTTTTATAGACTCCACATATAAGTATATTGTTTAGTCACTAATTTGTGTCTGACTTTTTGTGATCTACTGACTGTATCATGCCAGGTTCCTCTGTCCTTGGGATTTTCCAGGCAATAATATTGGAGTGGGTTGCCATTTCCTTTGCCAGGGCATCATCCTGACCCAGGGACAAAACCTGCATCTCCTACCTTGGCAGGAAGGCTCTTTACTACTGATCCACCATGGAACCCCACATATAAGTGAGGTCATAGTAATTGTCTCCATCGTAAGCTGCAATCAAGATTGCCAGGAGAAATACCAACAACTTCAAATATGCAGTTGATGCCACTCTAATAGGAGAGTGAAGAGAAACTAAAGAACTTCTTGATGAGGGTGCAACAGGAGAATGAAAAAGCTGACTTGAAACTCAACATCAAAAATTTAAGATTATGGCATTCAGTCCCACCACTTCATGGCAAATAGACGGGGATAAAGTGGAAGCAGTGACCAATTTTCTTTCCTTAGATTCCAAAATCACTGCAGATGCTGACTATAGCCATGAAATTAAAAGATGCTTGCTCCCTGGAAGAAAAGCTGTGACAAACCGAGACAGCATATTAAAAAGCAGAGACATTACTTTGCTGATGAAGATCCATATAGTCAAAGCCATGGTTTTCTCTTGAGAGTCCCTTGAACTGCAAGGAGCTCAAACCAGTCAATTCTAAAGGTAATAAGGTAATAAACCCTGAATATTCATTTGAAAGACTGATGCTGAAGCTGAAGCTCCAATATTTTGGCTACGTGATATGGAAAGTCAATTCATTGGAAAAGACTGATGTTGGGAAAGATTGGAGGCAAAGGTTCTCCTTTTTGTGATTTACTGACTGTATCATGCCATGCTTCTCTGTCTGGCTCCTCTTGTCAGGGGTAGCAGAGGGTAAAATGTTTGCATAGCATCACTAACTCAATAGACATGAATTTGAGCACACTCCAGGAGAGAGTGGATTATGGAGGAGCCTGGAGTGCTATAGTCTTTGCAGTCACAGAGTCAGACATGACTTAGTGACTCAACAACATTGACAATCTGACACTTCACTTAGCATAATAACCTCTAGGACTATCTACCTTGCTATAAATAGGACACTTTCATTTCTTTTTTATGGCTGAGTAATACATTGTGTGTGTGTGTGTGTGTGTGTGTGTGTGTGTGTGTGTATTAAGTCACTTCAATTGTGTCAGACTCTTTGCGTCCCTATGGATTGTAGCCTGCCAGGTTCCTCTGTCCAAGGGATTCTCCAGGCAAGAATACTGGAATACGTTATCCTCCTCAAGGGGATCTTCCTTACCTAAGTATTGAACTAGCATCTTTTATGTCTCTTGCATTGGTA